TACATGGGCGCGCGATGCGAATTCCCGGTTCACCCCAACGGCGCAGACGACGGCGCAGGCGCGTTGCCTGCGGCCTCCTCGGACCTCAGGCAGGCGGATCCCCAGCGCTTCCTTCTGCCGCCGGCTTTGGCACTACTGGTGGCCGCGGGCCTGGCTGGCGTCGTGCTCTTGATGATCCACCTGCGCCGTGGCCCTGGCCGGGATACTGGTTCTCGCTTGCTGGCGGGGACCCCGGAGCCGTCAGTTCACGCGCTCCCTGATGCACTCAACAACCTGAGGACGCAGGAGGGCTCCGGGGATAGCCCGAGGTGAGGGCCACAGACCTGTGCCTCGTCGCTATTGGCTGCTTGCAGCCAGCGCCGTGTTTCTTCGATGCATCTTCCTGATTGGATCCTCCTGTACCCCGTGCTGTACCCTTCATTCGGGTTGGGTCTGTCCGGAATTTCTTTTCCTGCCTGTGGGTTCTCCTTCCTTGCTAGGTGGGGGAAAACAATATCTGAAAATACAAAATCTGGATCCTTCCTTCCGCAGCTCGACAGGAGATTGGAGTCGCCCGGAAGATGGAGACTCTCGAACAATTTACGTCATATCATCTCCTTCCATCTAGGCTCGGGAGGTAGCTACACACCTAGGGCTCTGTGCACACAGGAGGCGCCCTGGGCCAAGGCAGCCCTGATTTTTCTCTAGCTGTCCTCCATTCTGTTTGTGAAACAAGGATGGTAGCGTCTCGGCACGGTCTCTATGCCCACTTTTCAGTTCTGACTTAGTTCTATTTTGTATTCCTCTTGCTGCTGTTTGGGATACTTGCCGCCTTCTGTTCGGAAGGCCATGGGCTCAACAGGGCACAGTGGGAACCTTTCCTGGGGAGAGCGAAGGAAGCCAAAGGAGCCTTTCCTAATGCTGCTTACTCATTTCATTTTCTAGGCCTGACCGGTGCTTTCTCAGCGCCTGGAAACAGAGCCTGGATTTCTATTGTTCAGCGGTGCCCAGTCTCAGCCCCAGACACCCGAGTGTCCGCTGCAGGGGTGGCCGGGAGAACTTTACTGCTGGAAGTTGTACATAACGGTTATTTATATCCTATTTTATATCTCATCTCACCAGAAATGTCTTTATAAAGGCTCTTATTTTGAACAAATATATCAGGCTTAGTGCTCTGTATTTGGTATTAGGATTGAGAGGAAGAGAATTGTTCTGAGGAGGGTATAGACGGGATTCTTTATATTGCAGGAATCAGAAACCATTTGATGTTTTGGTCTAAACAAAAAGAGAATTTAAGGCCAAGTATGGCGGCACATGTCTGTAATCCCAACACTCTGGAGCCTAAGGCTGAGGTAGGAGGATCCCCAGCAGTTGAGGCCAGCCTGGACTACATAGCAGCAAGACCCTGTCTGGGGGGACAAAATAAAACAAACAAAAAACAAAGTTCTGTAAAAAAGGAAAATTAGAACAAATTTAATTTTGCGGATTTTAGCTAGCTTTGTGACTGATTCAGGAAGCAGTCAATATTAAAAATGATTCAGAAACCTCCCTTTCACCATATGGATAGGTTGGCTTTATAGTCAGAGAATGGGAAAAGGCAATGAAATACAGAAACCGGATGTGACTCAGAGAGACAGCCCATTGGTTAAAGCTGCTGTCTTATTTGAACACAGTTTAAACAGTTGGCCACTTGTAATTGGCTGAGACTCAGCTACTTGTTACGAGTCTACACAACCAATTGGCTTGTAGTTCACTATGTATGGAGGCCCCTTTAGGCCTAGCAATTCAAATTAACAGTTTATAAAAATAAAAATAGAAATAAAAATCCGAGTGTAGTGTGGTGGTGCATGCCTGTAATCTTGCACTCTGGGAAACTAAGACTGGAGTGGAGGATGGCAAATTTGAGGCCAACCTGGGCAACTTAGCAAGAACTTGTCTCAACATAAAAATAAATAAATAGGCTGGGACTGTAGCTCACCCTGAAGGCCCTGGTTTCAATCCCAGGTATCCCCTAGTAAAATAAATAATAATGAAAAAGTTAAAAATCCAGTGGCAGTGGGGCCAGGGATTTAGCTCAGTGGTTCTACTGCCTCCCTCACAAGCGCAAGGTCTCAAGTTTGATCCCCAGTATCAAAAACAAACAAACAAACAAAAAACAGTGGCAGGTACAGCCTGATGCAGGGCTGGATGTGGGTTCTGTGTCTTTTTGCAGATGGCTCTTTTTACCCCCAGGTACCTTCATAGCTAGGCTGCCACTGGCCCAGGCTTGTCACAGGACTGTCACTGTCATTTGCCTGTTGTGTGAAGGAAGTGAGGTTGGCCTGCCGAAATCACATGGGATACGTGGAGGAAGGAGGTTCCCTTAAACCAGAGCCAGCCCAAACTGAGTTCTGTATCAGCCTGGCACACCAGTCCTTGCTTTGTGAGAAATGGGAGGAAGTTCTTCAGGCTCAAAGCAAGCGAGCTTAGGTAGTAATTTGAATATACAGGAAAACAAACAAAAACACCAGACTGAAGTAAAGGTAATCACCTAACTGCAAAAAAGTATAACAGGCCAAGTACGGTGGCTCATAAATAAGGAACTGACACAGGCTACTTACAAAGTAAACAGAGGTTTATTTTGCTCACAGTTCTGGAAATTGAAGTCCAGGACTGGGTGGCCCCTCAGTTTGGGCCTGGGGTGAGGACAGCAAGCCGTGGCAGGAGGGGAGGAGTGGATCGCTCATTTCATAAGCGAGAAGCAGAGATATGGTGAGAATGCGGTTCCATGGTTCCTTTTTTTTTTTGGTACCGGGGATCGAACTTGGGCCCTTGTGCTTGTGAGGCAGGTGGCGGAACCCACGGTTCCTTTTGAGGGTGGCCCTCAGTGACCTAAGGAACTCTCAGTTGGCCCTGACCCTTAAAGGGCCACAATACCTCCCTCTACTGCTACCCTGGGGACCAATCCCGCACATGTGGACACTTGGGGACATTCATCCAAACCATAGTAACTTGCATTGAGGATTTAATTTTCTTAGGGCCGAGGATTTTAGCTCAGTGGTTCCACTGCCTGCCTGGCTACTGCAAGGTCCTGAGTTAGATCCCTGGTACAAAAAAGAAAGAGGATTAAGTTTCTGACATGTTTTTTGGGATCCATTAAAACTACAGTAATTGTTTTATGCAGTTTCTGCCTCTGTGTTATATTTAACAACAAAATATTTAGACAAAAGTGTGGCTCATGGTGTTAGTCAGCAGCTGCTGTGGATAATGCTGCATACACTCAGTGGCCTAAGACACTGAACATTTGTTCACGCTGCAGTCTTTAGGTTTGCTGGGCTGGGTGATGGGGGGAAGCCTCATGAGTGTGTGTCCTTCAAGCTCAGGGCCTCTCATCTCCAGCAGGAGGGTTCTGGCTTCTGCCTGACACGGTGAGAAAGTGGGTGCCACTGAACATCTTCCCAATCCTTTTAGCTAAAACCTGTCACTGCATAGCCAGCCCAAATTCCAGAAGTAGAAATAGACCCTGCCTCTTGCTGGAAGAAGGCGGAGTCCCATTTCCAAGGGTATGGACGGGGAAGGGATGAGAACTGAGGCTTTTTGCCATCAGTCTTGCAACACTGGAACACCTTCCCCCTTTGAAAGTAAAACGGACCAAGCTGTTGGGTAGAGGCACCCACTGCATGTCCTCATTCAACTGCAAACAAAACAAAGCTGGGCATGATGCATGTCTGCTACCCTAGAACTCTGGGAGGCTGAGGCAGGAGGATTGTGTTTGAGGCCAGCCTGGAGGGTCCTCATGTGGCCACTGCCTCTGGTGTTGCAGGTCCCCACACAGTCACTGTCAGCTCCTGGAACAAGCCAGGCTTTCCCTCCACCTCCAGCAAACTACTCCCTTACCTAACCTCCTATTCCTTATCTCTTTCATTAATTCCACGTACATTCATTGAGTACCTTCTGTGTGTTAGGTCTTGTGCCAGGCACTGGGGATATAGTGGCGAACAAGGCAGATATATCAGCTTGGCCTGGTGGCACACTTTGGGAGGCTGAGGCAGGAGGGTGGAAATTTTGAGTCCACTCTGGGCAACCCAGCAACTTAGGAAAACCCCATCTCTAAATAAACGAATAGGGCTGGGAGTGTAGCTCAGTATGATGAGTTCAGTTGACCCCCCCTCAAAGCCGCACCAGTAACAGCTAGGATTGAGCCCCAGCTGTTACTCACTAGCGTGCACAAGGAGTCCTTTATAAACCTACCTTCCCTGTGGTGGTCGCAGCTTTTTTTCTTTCCCGCCCAGATCGCCCAGCTGATCCCTTTTCTGGGAAGCTCTGATCGCTGCAGAGTTGGTTGCTCCTCTTGGATCCTGGCCCTGGCCACTATTGTCAGTCCCATGGACAAGAAGGCTGGTGAGGATAGGTTCTAGACATCGTTCTGTCCCCGGAGTGACCCAGCACAAGACCATGCACACAATAGGCTCTCATAAACTCGCTGAGCTCAAGGTCAACAGCCGCTGGTGGGGAGCTCTGGGCCATCTGTGGAACTTCCCCCCAGGGGACTGCGGCGTCACAGTGCCCCCTTGTGGCTGTCTCTAGATTTAGAACCCCTGTGCCTGAGTCCGCGGGGTGTGGTGGGATGCCCAACCCGGTTACCCGGGTCCCTCCTGGTCCCCATGAACCACCAGGAGCGGACCCCAGCCCCCTCCCCGACCCGGCCCTCAACCCCTGTCCGGAGCTCCATCCTGTCCCGGATCCCAGCTCTGGTCCGGACTTTGACCCCAGTCAGGGCCTCGACCCCGGCCCGGACCCCGACCCCTATTCGAACCCTGACCCCGGTCCGGACCCCGACTCCGGTCCGGACTCCGACTCTGGTGCGAATCTCGACCCCAGTTCGGGCCTTGACCGTGGTCCGGACCTCGACTCCGGTCCGGACTCCGACTCCGGTCCAGACTCTGGTCTTGGACCAGACGCCGACTCCCGTCCAGTTCCCTGCACCAGCCCCAGCTGCAGCTCCGGCTCCAGCCTGGGTCTGGGCCGAGGTGCCCGGTGCGGAATCCTTCCCGAACCCGCTGCCACCTTTGGGTCCACTCTCAGAACCTACTTCGGAGCCAATTTTGTCTCCTGGCAAGGATCCTGCGCCGAGCCCGAAGCGCGATGAGGCCCCGGCCGGCACCGTAGCCAGGCCGGACCTGCAGCCTCACCCCGGCCTCACCCCACCGGCCGCTGACGGTCTCGGTCCCGCCCTGGAGGCCACCCCGAAGGCAGACCCATCCCCTGGCTCCATCATGCCATTTGTACCAGTTTCCACCGCTGCACTCGCCTCTGCCACCGAGAACTTCCACGCGGACAGAATCGTGATTCGAGTGACCTACTGGTGAGGGGCTGCTCCTCCGACACCCGCTTCCCCTGGATGTGGAGGTTGAGGTCGTTGAAGGGGGGAAGGGAGGAGTCGGAAAGAACCCTGGAGTTCTCCTCGAGGTTGGAAACTTGGCTCCACCAATTCTCTTTGGGGCAGGAGAGCTCTGGGTTCAAATCCCTGCTCTGGCTCTGAATGTCATTCAGTCTCGTTCATTTGAATGATTCTTAGCTCTAAGCTCCGTTTACTCATTTTCATTCATTCATCCCTCTGTCTGGTTCCTGGCCGCGAGCTTCAATCTTCACTCATACTCCTTTGTGAATGACCTGCCTTTAGGGTTCTCCGAGAGAACTGTGGGTGCAGGGGCTCTGAGGCAGGGCCATTTGGGGTGCTGGGAGATCAGCAGCAGGCTTCTGTAGTTGGACGGGGGTGGGGCAGTGGCAGAGGGGCGAGTGGGGAGGACCGTGAGGAGGACTCTAGGGAGGACCGTCCCCTCGGTGCTTTGGGAGGGTCTGAGCAGGGGAGGGATGTGATCTGACTGGGGTCTTCCTCGGGCCCCCTGGGCTTGGGAAGATGCTGATGCCATGTCTTTCCTTGTCTCTTATCTCCCTCCAGTGGTCTCTGAAGCTATGGCCTTTGGGTGAGTAGGCTTGGCCTTGGAAGGGGGTTCGTGTGGGGCATGAAGACTGGCAGTCCCTACCCCCCGTACCCCTGTGACTCCATGACCCCGTCTTTTTCCCTCAGTACGTCCTACTGAAGAAGAGTCTGGAGCAGCAGTTTCCAAATCTTCTGCACTTTGTAAGTGGCGAGTGGTCTGGGGTCTGGGGAGGGCCAGGGCTCTCAGCCTCCCTCACCCACCACGTTCCCTCCCTAGGAGGACGAAAGAGCAGCCCAGGCTACGGGGGAGTTTGAAGTGTTTGTGGAGGGGAAACTTGTCCATTCAAAGAAGGTGATTCTGAGCGAGACTGAGCCAGGCGGGAGTGGGGCTGGGGCCGGGTGGTGGAGACACGGCTGGGTCTTTCTGTGTCCAGCAAGGCGATGGCTTTGTGGATGAGGGCAGGCTGCAGATGATCGTGAACGCTATCAACAAGGAGATCAAGAGGAGGTAGCAGGCGGTGGTGGGGCTGAGGTGAGCGAGGTACTGTGTGTGTCCCTCATCGGTCGGCAGGGGTGGGGCCGGGCTCCGGGCCAAGGTCAGGCGAGCCACTGTCTGGGTCCTTCCCCAGCTCAGCTAGGCCTCACTGCTTGGATCCTGACAATGCACCTACACCCTTTTCTGAGCCTCCGCTTCCTCCCGTGTGTAAAGTGGGACCATTAAGACATTTCATGACAGGGGCTCGTATCAGGTAGCAAAGAGTACATGGCTTGTACTAGGCCTCGATGTTTCTCAAAAGAGCTTTAAAAGCTTATTTTTAGCTTTTAGTTGCAAAGTAGTAGCTTGTAAATTTAAGATTACATGAATTAAAATGAAGTACATTCAAAATTCAGTTCTTAGTTGCACTAGCCACCTTCCAAGTGCTTAACAGCCTCGTGTGGCTAGTGTGCAGGAATTGCATGGAACCCATCATGGCGGAAAGTACTATTAGTACCACTGATCTAAGGCATTAAATGGTGTCATAATAGTTTATTTACCATTAATATGGAATTATTTTTTGAAGCACTGGATATTGAACCCAGGGCCTTCCACATGCTAGATAACTGCTGTACCACTGAGTCTGATTCTGGATTTAAAAATATATATTTTTATTAGTGCCAATTTATTTTACAAAATACTAGATTTCAATCAGAGCATAGTGGCACATACCTGTACTTCCAGCACTTTGGAGACTGAGGCAGGGGGATAAATTGCAAGTTTGAGGCCAGTCTGATGAGCTCAAAGCCAGCCGTGAACTTAAGGAGCCCGTCTCAAAAAACAAAAAAACAGGCTAGGGATTTAGTTCAGTGGTGCTGCACCTGCCTTGCAAGCGAAAGGTCCAGAGTTCCACCCCTGGTACCACAAACAGAACAAAAACCAAAACAAAACAAATACCCAAATACCCAACAAACCAATGTGGTACAGTGGTACCGCAGTTTATGAACATCTTTTCCATGATTCTGCTTGCAAGCTGAATTGGACAAGAACTGAATCGCATTCAACAGTTAGGTTTCATAAATGCACCTAATGCATTTTGCTGTTCCTGGATTTTTTTTTGATCATGGATTTTTAAAATCAGTTATTATCTATGCATCTATACATTTGGAGCTGTTTCTGGTTTAGTCTTTTGTCTGTTCCATGTGTATATCTAAGTGCTCAAAGGAAGATTTCATTGAGGTGATAGCTGAGGCTTTGAGCAGTGAGGGACTGAGCCTTATGTATATCTAGGGAAAAGTATTCCAGGCAGTGGGAGCAGCAAGGGCAAAGGCACTGTGGTAGGAGTGTGCTTGGTGTATTTGAAACAGAGCTTAGAGGGCACCGCAGGGCTGGGGATACAGATCAGTGGTTTGCTTCTTGCCTTGCAAGCACAAGGTCCCAAGTTCAATCTCTGGTACCAAAAACTCCCTCCCAAAACAAAGAAACAACAAAAAAGAAGGCACTGCAATCCACAGAAAGCAGGAAGTTCTACCTGAACACTATTATTCTGATGGAGTTGTCATCTTAATGTTTTCTCTTTTCTCCCCACCTCAGGAGCTGCAGCAGGATGATGATAAGGGCTGAAATGTCACTGAGTCAGGCCCTTTTCTGATGGTGGCTGGGCTGGGTGGAGCTGGGGAGGGCTGTAAGGAAATACAGAACCTGCCTCCCGTGGATGTGGCCTGACTGCGTCCGCTGTCACGGCACTCACAGGAAGTCACCTGCTACAGGGACCCCAGCATCTCCCCCTTCTGACCCTGGGGTAAGGAGTAGGAGGGAGGGAGAGGAAGGTCAGTGTTGTGGCCTGGGCCATAAATGTCCCCCAGGGGCTCATATGCTGGCTTGGTATCCCAGGAGCCCTCGGGGAGCCCAGCCCGTCCCTCTCTTTGCCTCCCTGCCACCATGGGATGCTGATGTCCTCCGCCACAGGCTCCTGCCATGAGGTACAGGGACATCGCAGGGCCCACTGGCCGTGGGGTGAAAGCTCTGAAGCTGTGAGCCAAAAGCACTCCTGCTTATAAGCCGAGTCTCAGGTATTTTGTTCTCTCTCTCTTTTCTTTCACAGTGCTGGGGATGGAACTCAGGGCAAGTGCTCTGTATGGTGCCAACCCCTGGCTCAAATTTAAGTGACTTTAAAGTGTACCCAGTAATTGAAATTCTGTCATTCAATTCTTCCTTCTTTATAACCATCTTCTTTTGGGGGGGGGGCAGATCTCACTGTGTAGTTCAGGCTGGCCTCAAACTCAGTGATCCTCCTGCCTCAGCCTCTCAAGTGCTGGGATTACAGCCATGTGCC